TCCCTCCATTTACTTCTATATTAAAAATACATTTTCACTTTTTCTTGTCCATTATACTAAATCAAGAGAAAGATAATATCTTTTTCCTGTTTTACCCTTATCATTAACTATTCATTTCCCATATCATATCCCAAGACTTATGGAAATGCTATCATTATTAGAGGTAAAATTGTAAAATACATACTTTATTCTTATTTTCTTAAATAGAGTACAAAATCAATTGACCTCAAAAGCAAAATAAAGCATTAGTCATTCTTCAATAGGCCAACATCACCTATAACATTTTGAATTACCACAACTTTTTTCTAACATTGAAAAGGTTGCCAATTGTGAATTGTATCATATAAAATAATACTTAAATTCATAACCTCTTTATCCTTATTTTACACTTCACTGCCTCATTTCCTTATAATAATTTTCGTTTACTTACTCCATTAGAATGTATAAATTATGAATGTAACTTGATCATTCCTTATAAGTTTTTGTTTATATTATGGCAATTATGAATTTTTAATAGTCGTTTGGTTTGAATTAAAATTGAATTTGATACCATTATAAGTAGCTACTAGGTAATTCGATATAAAACATTAATCAACTTTACAGGAGAAATACAGGGGCATGGTTCAGCAAGTAGTTTTCTCATGCCATAACCACATTAAACAAAATTCGTTTAAGTACTAATATGCAATTATGCACACTCCACCCACAATGAGCATTTAGCAATCTAATCTGCGATTCATTTAGAAAGATCATCGATCCAGTTCAGCAACTTCCAAACTACTTTTTTCCAGAACTGCTTAGTAGCTGGATGTGAAGGGGAACCTTGGCGTAACTGGTAAAGTTGTTGTCATGTGACCATGAGGTCACGAGTTCGAGCCATAAAAACAGCCTCTTGCAGAAATGCAGGTTAAGGCTGTGTACAATAAATCCTTATGATCCGGCTCGTCTCAGCGACCCCGTGCATAGAGGGAGCTTAATGCACCGGACTTAGTGGCTAGATGTGTTGGAAAGAAAACAACAAGTTGATGTGGATAAAAATGGTTATGTAATTCAGCATTCTAGTGCAGTTCGTCAAATGTATATGATCTTCTGGGGTTAGTTTTCACCAAGCTGGTCGCTTGAGTCTATAGGCTTCTGTTCCAATTCACTTTCCTACAAGGTCTACTTTCAGTCAAGCGTGCTAGCTGCAATCAGAAAACATAGAAACAGAAAGTGCTCTGTATGGCACCGGCGGCTACCTTCTTAGTGATAGTATTGGTAGATGTTGGCACTCAATTAGTAGTGTTGACACATCACCCGACTCCTGTAGAAATTCATCCATCAGTTGCTTACAGAACAGGAAGGAACTGCAATTAATGTAACTGTATTTTTGTACTGCCCAGCACTATCTTACTGCCTGGCAATTTAAGGATGAAATCCTTTTTGTATAAACTTGACCTCTGGTGGTAACTTTTTTAAGTGTTGATCTATTTGTCATAACACTTACAGGAAGCATGTCAAATAATAAAATAAGAGAAAGCGAGGAACAACAACAACAATAACAACCTAGTATAATCCCACAAGTGGGGTCTGGGGAGGGCAGTGTGTACGCATACCTTACCCCTAACCTGTGGGGTAGAGGTGTTGTTTCCGATAGACCCTCGGCACAAGAAGATGGAAAGAGACAATAGAGCAGTAACAGCAACAGAGGCCAAAAAGATTAGAAAGTTTTTGGTATGAAGATGATAAGTACAACTCTATCTTGATAGTTTATAACTGAAGTCATTAACATGAAGATACAAAGCTACAAAGATGGCAAGTGATGATCCCACCTTAGTATTATTAACATGATTTTATTGAACACTTAAAAGTGAAAATTTCAGAAGCACAAGTGGTGATTCAAATACTAGAAGTGCAGCAATTGAAAGGACGCAAACAGGGGGAAAAAAAGAGCAACAAACCTGTAGCTAATTTCTTATATACTGCATATCTGTTTTTACCATCTGAGCTATGCATTTGCAGTTCTTCACCACGGTACTGGACGATGGAAACAGAGCACCCCCTAGCTTTCAGCTGTGGCTTCTCTGAAGCACATTGCTTAGCAAAAATATGAATGTGTGCACTTTCTTGGTGAAACATTGAGCTAAAAATTTTAGCACATTAGAGTAATTCACAGTTGCAGTTAAAGTTTGTAAGAGATTCTGGAGATCCGTTAAATTGCAGCATATTAAGTTCAGGAAATCTCTCCGTTCTCATCTATTTTTCCTCGATGGAGACTTGAGTTCAGCTGGCTGCATTAATCAACAAAGGAGATTGCTGAGTGTTAATTCAGATGCAATGAACACGTCAACTATTAAAATCCTCATATCTTCCTTCCTATGAGAATGTATATCAATTTCACAAATTATTGCAATGAAAGAAAATCTGAGTTCATTGAGTTAACTTAAGATTCATAGAACCGATTAGGTACAGATTTGAAATGCCACTGAAAATTCTGAAATTCATGCAACACGAATAGAACTAATAGGGTACTGTTCTGGAATTGTGTTACTTCACTAAAAAGAAACAAGTGAAACACTGCATGATTTCCTTTACTAGACCTCTTAGCAGATAATCCAGCTAACTACTTGAAAACCAATCCTAGGATGGCCACAAGCATAGTATTAAACATGTTTGCCGAAGCCCATTATTCTATTCTTGCTAGATCTACTTGGAAATATAAAACAAGGCACAAAAACGTTGGACATAACAACCTTTTTTTTAGGTATTAGGCAAAACACTATATTCATATGGAAAAAGAGGCAGCCCGGTGCAGCCCGATGCACGAAGCATCCCGTGTTCATGAAGGGACCGAGGAAGGGCCACACCCCAAGAAGTGTGATGTAGGCAGCTTACCCGGATGCAAGCACCAGCGGCTGATTCCACGGCTCGAACCCGTGACCTATAGGTCACACGGAGACAACTTTACCGTTGATACAAGCTCCCCTTCTATTTTCATATGGAAAGATCAAAATAAAATTGTAACGCACTATCTAGACATGGAAATCAAAATGGATGCATGAATATGGCCTTCTGCATCTACAACAGTTTTTTTGTGACAATCTCCTGCTAATTGTGAGAACCTTAGGTGATCAGATGTAAACAGGAACGAATCTCTTGAATTCAATCATGTTCCTTCATAATATACGAATTACCTATCTGACATAAATACAAGCCTTCAACTTATGCATCTAGCAGCTCTTCAAGACGACAAATTTGTTCAACCGGTTAAACCAGTGTCATTTGATTACCCGCAAATACAAAAAAATAAAAAATAAAAAATTAGAAGTACACCAATTGGCTATGCAATACGGAAGGCGGGCCAGAATAAATCAGATCCAGAAACCAAGAAACACCTCGGAAACCACTGTCTCTGCCAAAATACCCAGAGAGAGAGAGAGAGATAAGTTTCTCTTACAGGGTACTTGATGATGGAATCATATCCACCTTCTCTGGTGCCGTTGCTCTTACAGCTGCGGCATATCTAAAGCTGACTAATCAAACTGTAGAGATGGCTTAGAAACACATGGGAAAAAAAGAAAGTAGATATCTTGGGCACATTATAGCAAGTCACAGTGGCAGTGAAGGAGTGGAAAGAGACATTGATGATCTGTCAAATAGCAGCCTATTAAGTTCAAGACAGCTCTCTGCTCTTAACTTCTTCACTGCCTTATTCTTATCATCTTTTTTTCCCTCGCTGGAGACTCGGGTTTCTAGACTAGCTGCATTAGTTAACAAGAAAGATTGCTAAATGCTAATTCATATGCAAGAAACATGTCATTAACAAAGAAAAAATTCAATGAAATCCTCTCTTCCTTTACTATGGGAATAAGCATCAACTTTCACTATATAATTGCAATGAACAAAATCCCGAGTTTCATAGTACTGATTTGGCAGATTATGATATGACACGGGCAATTCTTAAGCTAACATACCCCCACCTCAATAACAAAATTACATCCTTTTATAGTTAAAAAAATAAAATGTTAGTGATTCTACCGTCATCCTCAGCTCTGAGAAAAAGTGCTCAGCACTGTATTCATCTCAAACTTGTGATTTTTTACCACAAAAAATTTCTCACATAGCAAGAACTTTGCACCAATTTGATTGACTCGGCATCTCTGCCCAGACAGTCATTCTGCTTGACTGACAACGTCAAGAGATTATAGCAATGAAACATATATAACACATGTAAGGATCGATATAAAGGCATATAATGGAGTCAGTTGTTTCCCTAGACCTAGTTGCAGTGCACAAAAACATTACACACATGACTATTTTTTAGAGGTATTAGGCAAAGCAGTTTATTAAAATAAAAAACATAAATAAGAGGTACAAAGAAAGCACTATTGCCATATGGAAGATCAACATGAAACAAGGTAAGCGCTATCTAGACATGGAAATCAAAAGGAACGAGCAAATGTAGCCTTCTGCTGTGACGTCAGTTTTGTTATGACAATTTGCTGCAACTTACGAGAATCAAACGTGATTAGGATTGTGTACAAAGAAAGTAAAAAGAATCTCTTGAATACAATAAATTGTAACTTGACAATATATGATTTGCCTTATACCCTACTTCTGTTTAATCACGGTGGTGTTCGGGCTAACTTGCACCACACTAATTCATCGGGTACTTGCTACCTTCTACCAGCACATGCACTAGGTAACTCTACCTGCCAAGGCTTAGCAGAAGGAAAGAAACCTAGTATTTTTTGTCTCTGTTGGGATTTGAACCAATTGCCTTATACCCTCCTAGTTTAATCCATGCTTTCAATTTAGGCATCTCGATTAGTTAAAACTACACATTTCCTCTTCCATTTAAGAAGCTGTAATTGATTACTCATAAGTACAAAAATAGAATTACACCGATTGTCTATGCCATACAAAAGGAGAGACAGATTAAGTCAGATCTAGAAACCAAGAGGCACCTCGCAAAAACCTCTCTGCCCCGAGAGAGAGAGAGAGAGAGAGAGAGAGAGAAGGAACAGTAACCCACACCAATCATTGGAATGAAGAAGATAAAATCTCAACGAATGTGCTGTACCAGAGGAATCTACAAGGTCATTCTAGAGCTACTTTATATTTATGTTTTTCACCCACCACTATACACATCAAAGAGCTAGTAATGAGTTAACAATACCTATCAAAAGAAGGCACTAGAGCACCTTATCATCCAGAATTCTGCAGCAACATTTTAACCTCAAAAAACCTATTACACCTTGCAATAAAGGCATAGAGAACAGTACATCAATCAAAAGAGGCCCTGTGACGTGTCAGCATCGTTGTAATCAGAATTCTTCTCGTCAGACTCCGACCCACTGTCAAAATTCACACTTTGGATTTCTAGGGATCCATCTGACTTGCCACCTGCTTTAAGGAGATCCTTTAATTTATCAAGAATATAGGGCTCTACCACTTTCCAGAACCATGTAGCATTGTCCCCCAGAAAACCAATCCAAAAGACCCTCCCCCTCTTTTTTACTCGGCTGTCTAATGATTGGGCTTTCAGCACTTTAACAATATTCGCAACTTCCTCTCGACTTCCCTTTACTCTCAATAGAATATCACCAGAAGATGTCCTGTAACCGCCATACATATACCAATAAGCAAGAACACAAGGTGACAGCCATCTATGTATAAGTTTTGGTATACCAGGACATCCGTTGGGCCAGAATTGATCAGCATAGAAAGTAAAACAAGAATGTGAGATGGTAGTAAAGGAACTAGGAATGTCATCAGTGCCATCCCCCGTCAAATCATGAGAGCCTAACCACTCATGAAATTCATCGTGTACGTGTCCCTTTAAAATGGCATGGATCCTCGACTCTTCATTGAAGTCAAAATGGATTGCATGTACTCTCCTCCTCCTCTCTCCATATGATCTCATTTGCAAACCCCCAAGAAGTAACCCCATCAAAACTTCTCGTTGTTCTTTTGTGAGCTTCGGCCTAATAGGTTCTTCAACTACTTTCTCTCGCAAGCTTAAAAAATAGTCAAGTTTTTCCATCAATGAAGATTCAATCTCAATGTCGTATTTCTTTTGGTGCATCAAATGATATATCTTTTCTGCCTTCACATACTCTCCAGAGGTCAGATAGCCTCTCAACATACTGTTGCAAGAACGAGAATCGAGACTAATTGCAACATCATCACGCATTTCATTGAATATTTCTTCAGCCCGGTTCAGATTGCCAGTATGCACCAAGGAATCCAAATAAATATTAAAAACCGTCTGATTTGGAGCACAGATTTCACGGCAACGGAGAAAGGTAGACTCCAATTTCTCATGTAAGCTTGCAATGGAATACATTCCCATCAAATCGATGAATGATGGAATCAGCGGCTTCATACAACTGTTTATGAACTCGGACATGATAGACTCCGCAAGATCTAGTCTTTGAGATTTAGACAACACCTTTATTATCTTATGGTATGCTGCAACGGAGGTAGAACTCAGTTGTTTCTGCATCCTCCTAAATACTTCCAAAGATTTCATAGGCTCTCCGATCTTTGCATAGACTTCCATTTTATATACAAAAGCTTGTGAAGGAGGACTAGGATCAACGGAGAGGAGTTTTGACCAAGTTCGTTCGGCTTCCTCCAGATCCCCATCCTTTGAGCAAGCTCTCAAGACTGACACGAGTACCTCTTTGCTCTCTTGAATTCCTCTTGATCGCATCTCTGCTCTTAGCGCAGCAATTCTTTCCATATCCACTACATCCTGATAACTGTGAAGCCATATAAGACCACCAAAAATATCTTTGTGTATATCCAATCCAGAGGAAATCAAATTCTGATATATAAATTCTGCCTGTTTCAGAAAGTGTTTACTGGAGCCCTGTGTCTTCCCCAAAAGAGCTTTAAACAGAGAATTGTGTAAGTTAAGCCGAGGCTTATAACCTCCCAAGTGCACCATGCGGTTATAGATGCGACACGCTTCATCTAACACTGATGGGCCAGGTGAACTAAGATAGGCGATGATGAGAATATGGAATGTAGATTCAGAAGGCACTCGTCCCTGATTAATAATGTCATCAAAAATCTCCTGGCACTTCAAGTGCTTTCGTTCCTTACCCAAGTAATCTGCTAGTTTCGTAGCTAGAGCAAAATCAAATCGAAACCAATGTTGCTGCATCATCCATTTGTAAACCTGTTATGCGCAACAGAAACTTTTAGATCTTTGTGATTTAGAGTTTAGACTCTACTATTTTAAATAGCTAATAAAGAGTAATTAGATCCCTTATGTGATCAACCAAAACACTTTTACCAACATAACCAAAAACACAAAAAAAGACAGCAACTTTTTTAAGAATGACTAATCTAAAGGAAATTTATCATGAAAGCAGCTTCATTTTCGCGAATACGCATACAGTAACAGCAATATAAGTTGCGTTAACAGTTTTCTCAACATTCTCCAATATTTGTAGTAACTTTCTTCCACATAATAGCTAATGATAAGTCAGGCTACAAATGATACAACAACAACAACGCCTCAGCTCCGAACAATTAGAGTCCGCTATAGGAATCCTCACTGATTAATTTAAGCTCAACTCATGTCATCATCATACATGATCAAGCTAACAAAGAATGATCAAAAACACAAAAAGACATCAAATTTTCTAAAAAAAAGAATGACTAAACTAAATGAAATTAAGACATTACCCTGAAAGCAGCTTCATTTTCACGAATACGCATACAATGAACAGCAACGTAAGTAGCATCTTCTTGTTTAAGCCATTTCCTCTGTGCATTAAGAATCCGAACCATAGTAGGTGTTTTATGTGCTGGAAGTTCCTTACAAAGCCAAGCTAATCTTGACCTGCGCCATTGGTCAGGAATGTCCTCTAGTTCACTAACCTCAACGGCCGGTGTTTCGAACTTTTTCAGCTCAGTAGAATCAAAAGACTCGTCAAAATTGAAACTTTCAGGAAACCCAGTTGAAGAAATGTCACATTTGTTATTGTCTTGGGTTTCATGTGATGAAAACAGAACTTGTTGGGGTAAAGTAGATAAGGGAGAAAATGAAAGGGGTTTTAAGGGAAGGGAAAAGGGTGATGAGGTCGATAAAAGGCGGCGGCGGCGGTGACGGTGGTGGAAAGGGGAGGAGGAGAGAGAGTGGAGGAAAGTGCGGGCTGTGCTCATGGGATATTTGACAAAGGAAATTATCATCATAAAGAAGCAGAGTATTATGTATTTGCCATTTATCCAGTCTGCACTTCTTCAGATTAGAATATCATTGGCCTATTCTGAATTCATTCAAAGTTAGGTATTACAAACAAATTAAATTGAACTGTTACTTATACTTAAATTGAAAGTTGGGTATTACAAACATATATATATTAATTACCAATCAGTTAATATTAAAACAGGCCACTGTTTCACCTTGCTAAAGGGTCATTTGGTTGGAAAATAAGTTATATCATGATTAATTATTCCGAGATTAATTATTTCATCCTCCATGGGAATAAAAAAATACTACAATCCCGAGATAACTCGAGATTAGTTATACTACAATTTTATCTCAACCAAACGTGTGATAAACTCACCTCAAATTTAATCAAGGGATTAGTCATGCAAATAATAATCTCGGGGTAAAATTTGGGATTAACTTTATCCCATATTTGGTTTGGGATATTAACTAATTGATGTCGTACTATAATTTCATATATTTTCACGTTATTTACCCTACTTGCTTGTTGTTTGGATGCTAATTTGTGCGACAATTACGCTTAATAAAGCTTACTTCACGTGTAGGAATGCCTGGGCATTAATTGAAAAAAAAGTTACACGGAATGGTACCTCAGAGCTAAAAATGGAGCAAAAAAAGAAGAAATACAAGGCAACGAAACAAACAGTGCCATAGACAATGCAAGGCATTATCCAGGGCACTATCATTGGCGCCCCAGACAGTGCCTTGTGTAGAAACAACAGTGCCATAGACAGTGCAAGGTATTATCCAGGGCACTATCATTGGCGCCCCAGACAGTTCCTTGTGCAGAAACAACAGTGCCATAGACAGTGCAAGGCATTATCCAAGGCACTATCATTGGCGCCCCAGACAATGCCTTGCGTCGAAACAATGGCGCCATAGACAATGCCTCGTGCCGACGATGACATCCGAGCAAATTTAAATTACTTATTAGTTTTGGACATGCAGAATTCGGCCCCTACCCTATAAATACCCCTTAAAGTTAGTTTTTTTTTTATGGCGAGACATCATTAGAGTTAGACATCATTAGAGGAGAAATCATAACCCTAGACCTACTTAATCTTTTCTCCAACCCTTAGTATCCCTAGTTGTTAATTTACTACTTTAATTTATTAGTTAATTAGTTAGACATAAGAATCGTAATATTTATAACTTTGGAATTGTTCGAACTTGTCTTTTTAGTGATATTGAACAGTTATAGTGAAACCTTAGTTCTCTGTGGGATTCAACTCCGAACTTTTAGATCGGATTATATTTGCAGTGACAGCTTATCCTTTTTAGGACTAGAGTTGGGCATGATCAAATTTTGGCGTCGTTGCCGGGGAACTAACGGTGTAGTTATAGCTGTACATATTGCTAAGTTTCAAGTTTGAACTTTTATTTTATTTTATTTTATTTTATTTTACTTGTTGATTTGAGAAACTTGACATCTTGGAATTATAGAAGTTTAGGTATTGATAATTTTATTTTGATCCGTATACATATTGTGAAGGAAACCACCCATGACAAAATTTTTAAAACATTCCTGAGAGCGAGTTATGTGCACCAACTCAATTTTATTTGTGGAATGTGTGTGATGTGTGTAGTGGTCAAAATGATCACTTTCATGGTTGTACTTATATTTTTTATCCTCTTCAAACCCCTTACTATGATGGTTCTACTTTTTCTTGTGAAGTTAATAGGAATAAATAACATGGGGATGCGGACCTAAAGGAGACCAAGGATATGTTAAAGTGTGTTCTTGAACAAAATAATGAGAAACAGCTGTAGATAGAAAGGTAAGAGGCAACTATTCACAGCTTGAAGGCTCAAGTGAGTCAAGTGGTTGAAGCTTTTAATGCTCAGCAAGTCAATTTTGGGGATAGTGGCCAAGAAAAGCGTGAATTTGAGGTGCTAATTGAGGAGGTAAGAGTAGGACATCAACAACCTAGCCAACTACAATTTGAGGATCAGTGGCGGACCCAGGATTTTATACAAATGGGTTCAATCTTAGAAGTACATAACTTTAGTCGTAAAATAGTAGTTGTCAAGTGGGTTCAAATAAAATATTTATACAAAATTTATGCAGCTTTAATCGTAATTTATATATATACACAGTATTATTTTTTGACGAAGCGGGTTCAGTTGAACCTGCTTTCCACCACGTGCGTCCGCCGTTGTTGAGGATGTCGATGTTGAAGAAGTGAGACTAGAGTCAGCCAAGGACATTGAGGATATATATTTTGTTGACTCTAGTACCATTGATGTTGAGGATGTTGAAAGTCTTGAAGTTCATGTGTTTAAAGCGTATTGGTCCTCGCTCCGAACATTTTTCCACATTGTACTTGGATGATGATATAGAAATAGAGTCATTCGAGCCGATTGAGGAGTCAAGGAATGAGGAACAAGGTGCCTACATTCTGGAATTTTTCTTGCCAGAAAGACAGGACTACATACCTCATCTGAAAGCCAAAAAGTGTAGAATAGTACAATTGTTGCTTGAGTCAATTAGATCTGTTCCACCACCCCTGGAGCATAATCGAAAACTTGTCGCCAGATTGAGGGTTAAATTCATAAGCTCGAGGTGGAGGCATAAAGTGGTTCAGGTCGTGCCGCGATGTTAAATCATGCGCTTGTTGGGAGGCAACCCAACTTTACTGCTTTCTTTTATTTTTAGTTTTTTTAATTATTTTCTTATTGTATTTTTTTGTAGTGTCATTTTTGATTTTTTAGGAGCATGGGAAGCATAGCTATTGGAATGATGCAATAGCAAGCCAGATGGTTAGAACTAAGTGTGGGGTGCCCGCACAAAGAAAAAAAATGGGATAAGTGTGAGTACCCCATGAGCTGCTAGTGGTTCGGCCTTTGGCCTACCAGGGAGTTTCTTTTACCCTCTTATTATTTATGTTGTGCATTGGGGACAATACACAATTTTAAGTGTGGGGTAAGGAGATTGTCTAGGTGACTTTCTATGGTATTTTAGTTGTGTTAGTTTAATTGATAATTTTTTTAAAAAAAAAAAATTGGACTTTTCCCAACGATGGACCTCCTAGACAGTTTTCTTGAGGGATTTAAGTCTAAAAAATATAAAAAAAATACAAAAAAAATACAAAAACATGACTTTTATTTTTCTTAGGTAGTAATAATCCCCAGTGATTTTTTTTAGTGTTTCGGTTCTTTTTCATAGGATGTAACTTGAACCGGATAGTAGTTTTAATTATTATTTTTTAACTTTTGGAGTAGTATGTATGAAATAAAGGAGAAGGACTGATGTGATTTGAACCTTTTGACTTGTTTGATGGTTGCATACGTAGGTTCTAGCATGTGTTTCATCTTCCCTTAGCTTTAAATATATGATGATGCCTTAGTAAAAATGAATAGCATGTGGTATAACTCCTATGTCTGTGTTGCTTTACTTGTGTTCACTTTGTGCTTTATGCTTAATATATCTCTTGGCTTTGTGAATTCTTATTTGATTGAGAGTTTGAATGGGACCGTCCTTAGGGAGTCATGTGCCATATGTGAAGTGAGTTATTTGTATAGTCCATGTTATTGCATTTGAGTCTATAACTTGTACGGAATGTGAATTGAAGCAAAATCCTAGGTGTTACCGGTTTGAAAAGTGATGTTAGGCTTTCTTTGATCTTTTTGAGTTTTGTTGCTTATCACAAATAAAATCATCCCTAGATACCTTTTTGAACCTATGAGCCTTTATTTTGGCACCCGCATTATAAGCATATCCCCTTTTGTTCTTAATTGAATCATTTTGACCCGTATACCTCTTAAAGCACTTGAATTATAAAGAGATCATTAGAAGTAAGTAATAAGGAAACTCGGGGTAGCTTTTGAGTGGAACCAATAGAAGGAAGAAATATGCACTTGTGCTTTAAATAAAAATCCACCAGCGGCAAGGTAAAAGTAAAAAAAAGAAGAAGGAAAGAATAAATGAATAAATAAAGGTTTTTTATTTTTGCTAGTTGATGTGATATGAAGCAGTGTGTACAGAAGAACGAAAAATATTCTGGGGTGAGCTATCTCGTGATGATTGAAGTGGATTGAATGAATTTTGCGCTTAAAGTTGAATACGTGATATGTTAACGTACTTAGAAGGGTTAACTACTATATCCTAAATATATCCTACCCGTCCCTTAGCCCACATTACAACCGTAATAAAGTCCTAGTTGATTTCGGATCGAGCATGCCTACATTAGTAGAGGTTTATACAAGGGACAAGCCTATGGTACCTTTTGCGTGCATGCGACTTCTTTGAGAGAGTGAGTGATTTTTCTTCATATATGTTAGTCCTTAAAATATATTCGATCATGTGATTTGGATGTGTTGATTGCTTACTCTTTATTTTATTGTGAGGGCACATGATTTCACAAATGATAGGTAACATTATTAGATATCTCTGTTAGATTAAGTATTCAAGCCTCGGGTGCATTGTGACATTGAGTTAGTTTTTGAGGTTAGGACTGTTATAATCATGTTGCTCCTGGGTTGGATGTTTTGAAATTGGGCATGAGTATGGGAAATGTTGATATCATATGCTATAACTTAATTGTTACTATCAACCATAGTCATAGGTTTAGTGTGCTATGAACGTATGGCTTGTTGGGTCCTTGAAGAGGAAGTGTTTGGTTGGTTGACTTGAGGGCGAGCAACATTTAAGTGTGGGGTGTTGGTGTCGTGCTATAATTCCATATATTTTGACGTTATCTACCCTACTTGCTTGTTGTTTGGATGCTAATTTGCGCGATGATTGCGCGTAATAGAGCTTATTTCCCGTGTAGGAATGCTTGGACATGAATTGGAGAAAAGTTACACGGAATGGTACCTCATAGCTAAATAATGGAGCAATAAAAGAAGAAGTGTAAGGCAATGAAACAACAGTGCCATAGACAGTGTAAGATATTGTCCAGGGCACTGTCATTGGCGCCCAAGATAGTGCCTTGCACCGAAACAATGGCGCCATAGACAGTGCCTCGCGCCGACGATGCCATCCGAGCAAATTTTAATTCCTCATTAGT